CGTTCACACTGCCAGGCTGAAGTGGCACAAATCTGATTTATTTCCCCTAATGTGACTCAGATCTGATGTTTTCAGAGCTGTGTGGACACAAATCTGATCTTTTCAAATCCGACCTTAACGTGACGATTGGAATTCATGTGCTTTTTTCCCCACTGCGTGTGCTCCATCATTCAGCGTTACCATGGCAGCAGCGCCGATCAGAAGTTAAAGCCTGTAAACGGTGGAAAAGCAGCTCATCTCACCTTTTTCTCCTTCGTCTCGCTCTAATAATGAAGCTGAGAGCTGATCAGAGTTAATCTTCTCGGATTTGAGATCGGATTTAAGCGAAAAATCGGATTTGAGCAATGAGGCTCGTAATGTGAACGTAGCTTAAATCATCACATCTGCAATCTGACACTAACTGGATTTTTTTAATAGATTTAATTTTTGAAGGTGTGCCATAACACAGAAATCTGCATAAATCCATTATTCATTAGTCACATTCACCTTGTTACTCCAGTGTAACACAAAAGAAGCAAATTACAGACACACAATTTGACTAATGACGTTTAAAAGGGGACGCATTCTGTAAATCTGGATCTTTCATTAAACTATGCCTTTAAGACTCAAACACGAGCTCCGTGGGCCATGTCAGGCCGCGGCACAATCCTATTTGGCCTGTGAAATTATTTTCATTTTCTATTAATATTAGGCTGCTTTACAATGCGCTGCACTACAATCCCCAGCACACACTGCTACGCAATGTGCGCTCTGAGCCCTCTCCCCCAACAACAAGGACAGGTGGTTCTGCCACAAAAAGAATGGAGCCTTGTTTTATTATATATATATGTGAAATATCATGAGATTATATATCATGATGAATGGACCAATAGAAAAGACCCAAAATGACCCTGAAAAAGTCTGGTTTCATTGACTTGCATTAAAAGTAAAGTAGGTTTTTTCCTTCTCCTGTAAAGTTACGAGAGACACAGCAGTGCTGCTGGAGTTTTTAAACACCTCAGTGTCGCTGCTGGACTGAGAATAGTCCACCAACCAAAAATATCCAGCCAGCAGCGTCCTGTGGGCAGCGTCCTGTGACCACTGATGAAGGACTAGAGGATGACCAACACAAACTGTGCAGCAGCAGATGAGCTATCGTCTCTGAGTGGACAGTGTGCGCTGAGAATGATCCACCACCCAAACAGTACCTGCTCTGTGAGGGTCCATGGGGGTCCTGACCACTAAAGATATATATATATATATATATACACACACACACACACACAGTTAGTGTGTAATTAGTGGTGATTTAAGATATGAATAGCCTCAAAACTTAAAGTGAGGCAGGATTTGGCTCAAGCAGCTGAGTATAGTTTAGAGACAACAAACTGCCACTGAGTCAATATGGACACTGTCCTGTTTCCTCCCAACTTGACCTTTGCAACTGTGTCCAGAAAGCCCTCAGTCTCTGACTGGCTGTGTGGACTTGTGAGTCACAGCAACCACACTTTATAATGGCAGTCTACGGTTCCTGAGTCACACCTATGTGATAAGAGTTGATCTGATGTGCTGTAGAGCTCTGCTGATTCATCGACTGTGCAATTCTGCAGGTGGGATGAGTCCAAATGCTTCTCTCTACCATTATACATTCTCACAAGAACCTTGAGAGGGCAGTGCAGAACCTGCATCTTACGTTTTGGTCCAGGTTTCTTAACTGTGTAGTACGAGGAAGGAACTAAAGGACTACTGCAGCCGGCTAAAGGCTATGGCACACACGAGGAGAAGCCCCACGCGATGCCACCAGAGGGTCTCCAGGTGGGTAATAGTACAGAGGACAGCTATAGCACACAGGAAGGTTAGGAAAAAATACCAATCAACATCAGGTTCAGGTTGATTTTACGCTCTACTTGTGAAGATTTATGAACATTAAACTTTCAGTATCATTTAGTGAGCATTATTTGGAGGTGGAATAGTGTTGCTAGGCTAATAATGTTAGCTGAGGCGAAAAACACATGATTAGCATTTGTCTGTCTGCCACATTCGGAGACCTAAAGCAGCTCATCACATGGAAAACAGCAATAACCGTTTTTAAAATATATATGTTTTTATCTGTACATGTTCAAATACTGGAAACAGAGACTTAAAGCTGTGTTCACATGGATGGGAAGCTAAAACCGAAAGGGTTTGACTGCAGAGCTGCAGATTTACACCCACAGTTTCACTCCAGCGCTTTCAGGCAAGTGGAACGCATGCGCAGCGGGACAGCCACGTAAACAAAGCCCTTATAGGAAAATTGAGCGTTACGAGCGTCCCATTCATATTTCTACCAGTGGCCTCTCCAAAACAGTAACTTTACAGGAGAAGACAAAAACATTCTTTACTTTAAATGTAAGTCGATGGAAAGAGATTTTATTCTAAGCAATTTTGGAGCGTTTCTATTGGTCCAATCATCATGAATTTTGCACACAGTGTAAAGGAGAACTGCTGAGCTCAAACGATGCAGAAAAGTTAAAATCGCAAAAAATGGAGATACATGTTTTTCTTTGGACAGCGACGATATGCTTTGCGTACCTTCCATTTTTGTAAGTGTGCAAATATACCAGAGAAGATAATGAGCAGAATAACACTGTGTAAATACCAAAAAAGATACAGACCCTTATTGACCAATAAAACGTCCAGGCTACACAGCTCAGAACCGCTGTGTCTGCCCTGGCTGTAGGTTAAATCATTAAACAGCCTAATGGCTGTGTTGTATATGAAGGTGGGCTTTATATGGCTAATCTGATGTATAAACAGTGGAGATTTGTAGATTAGCATTGAGTCCAATAAGCGTTCTGGTGATCAAGGTGCTCTGCTGGCTGTGGTTGATACCTTGCTGCTGTTGGCCCTGTGTTCATCCTGGCAGCCATTCAGGGTGGCCTCATCAGCCATCTGACTCCCACCAGGATCCACCACAATACCACAGGACGCGCAAGGAGTCTGGAGACAGCGAGTGTGAGAGAGAGAGAGAGGAGAGAGAGAGAGAGAGAGAGAGAGAGAGAGAGAGAGAGAAAACGAGAGAAAGTAATTAAAACAAAGGCGGATGAATCAAGACATACAAGAATTATAACACCCGGTTAGTTGTGTGTGCATATCGTTAATCGTTGTAACTTAGAGGACTTCAAAAAAATAATAATTTTGAATGCATGTTAATGTAACATGTAATGAGGTTTTGATATGAAAGCAAACGATATAAAGTATCCAAACAGCCCTACAGCCTTATTAATTACTGAATTCAGCTACTTTAAGGTGAACCCACTGCCGACACAGATGTTGCCTGTATAATCTCCATAGAAAAGCACTGTCCAATAGAATGAGATGCTCTGGATCAGCCGCACATGAGCCTAAGGTCACCATGCCCAATGCCAAGCATCGACTAGAGGGGTATAAAGCCCAAAATTGTGCTGTGGAGCAGTGGAACTGCCTTCGCTGGAGTGATGGAGCTCCATCCAACATCCCCAGGATAAGAGATCCGACATCACAACGAAAAAATAACGACCAAAACATTAAAAAAAGGGACTTCAGCTGAAACTGATATAGGGCTGAAGGAAATCCTTAGGGATCCATGTCGGATGGATACGGCCTCAGCTGAGCTACTGAACTAGAAGAGATCAATCAAACGCTGGATGCTGATGACGACTCGTCATCTTCAGATGTGCCAACAGGTTAGCTTGTCAGATAAATATATTTCCTCTGTTAAGCTAATGACAGCTAGAGTAGTTGAAGCAGAGCCGGTTTATAGGGAGCCTGGCCACTTCCTATTTCCCTCGTTGTATCAAAAACAGGACTGCGAAACAGCAGAGGGCGCCCAAGAGTGAGTCTTCAATGAATGGGAGTAAATAGAGCTCAACAAAAACAAAAACTTAATAGTTTCTAATCACTCGCCCAGAACTTTCCTTCAATTTTAGAAAGTAGAAGCATTTATTTCACTAAAAAGCTAAGAAAATTAACCTGTATGTTTCCGTTTTTCTACAACAAACAGGTTCTGGGCAGCAGAACGTTAGCATCACTGCTCCTGAGTGCTGACTGGTGGGCGAGCGGAGCAGCTCATTGGAAGAGGATGTTTAAAAGCTCTTAAAAATATAACAGCAGTGTTGAAATGTTTTATGCTGCTCTGTGTTCAGGAAATAATTGTATTATTTTATATTAAAAATGTTTCAGCATTTATAAACTACGATTTTGCTCAAATGCTCCAACTGAACCCATTCATTTTGGACTCGCCCGGGAGCGCCCTCTGGAGAAACCCGGAAGACATTGCAGAGTTGCAATTCTCCTCTCTACAAGTTCTCTGGTGGAACCTAGCTCGCAACAAAGCTGTGCTAGATCTGCCTTCTCACGTCTTTAAGGGTGCGTCATTGGCACTGTGCTCACATTAAGGCACTTTTTGGAATAAAGTATTTACAAATATGAGCAAAACTGTTTTAGTCCTATAAAATAACATCTGTGTTTCAATTGTTAGCTTGTATAATTTCTACATTTTTAACACAATGAATGTGACAATTCAAACAGTGTTTTCAGTATTTGAATACTGGCACTTTGAATGGTTAACTGAGTACTGAGTAGCCACAAGTTGGGCCTACACTACACAATTTTTGCCCGATTTTAACCCTTATTTGCCCCTTGCGACAAATTCTCACAATCTGAAGCTATTTTCCAGGTCGGGAGCTCAATCAAAAGCGACTAATGGAGTGGATGACCTGGTAGTGTGAGAGGAGAAATGAGTGAATCTTTAGCCCCCCGATCGAACTGTGATCAGATATTATCAAATACGTTTCATATTTTTACGACCCAAAACGTTCATGAGTCCTGTAGTGTGAGAAGGTCAGAGATTTACTCAACTGGTGATTCAAACAACAGCCAATCAGAGAGCAAGAAGAGCAGAGAAAAAGCCAGAGACATGCATGAACACCTGAACAGCGCCTGAACAGAGGAGTGTAGAGATTAAAAGCTGTGTAGTGTACGCTCAGCCTAACCTGACCTCACTAACGCTTTTGTATCTGAATGCAATCAAATCCTCACAGCAGTGTTCCAACATCTAGTGCTAAACCCTGTCAGAGTAGTAGAGGCTGTTACTGCAGCGAAGAGGGATGATCTCCCTGTGAACGCCTTTGATTTGAGTGGGTGTCTACAAACCTTTGAACATAGTGTGTGTGTGTGTGTGTGTGTGTGTGTGTGTGTGTGTGTGTGTGAGAGAGTGTGTGTGTGTGTGTGTGTGTGTGAGAGAGTGTGTGTGTGTGTGTGAGTGTGTGTGTGTGTGTGTGTGTGTGAGAGAGAGAGGTAGATGTGGGTGTGACCTACCTTGACGTGCTCTGCCATGGCGGAGTGGGTGAGTTCTGAAGTGTGTATGTGTGGAGATGGACTGAGTGCTTCTCCGATGTCTCGTCCCAGACGTTCCCAGTGCTCCCAGTTCTGAGAATGGCCACACTGTGAGCCCACTTTCCTCCCGGAGATCAAATACGTCTTTAACCCTGCAAACACACACAAAAACACAGACATTCAACATAACATAAACACACAGATAAACCACTGACAGTGAAACACTGAATAACTGATATTAAATCACAATACAAAGAATCTCATATCTTCTAAAAAATGAAAGAATCTAATCTTTTAATTTATCATTCTTTGTATTCTTTTTATTTATTTTGTCAATTTATAGTCTTATATCTATTTCTTTTATTTAATTAATTTGTTTTTATTTTATCCTCAATGCTTTGTTACTTGATAAGTTACTATAATTTTTATCGTTTATTGATTTAACAGTTTATTGGTACCTTCTTATTATTGTGTTTTACTTTTATGATTATTATTATTTAATTATAACATTTGATTTATTTATTTTTTTTTACTGCACAACTTCTCAATCCCTGATTCCTGTATTACTCGGCTACACTGTAAATGAGGGTCTCCCTCAATGTATTCCGAGTTTAAATAAAGGTTGATTGATTGATTGAATAGTCCCACCCCCACATCAGACTACACAGATCAACTCGCTGACGGAAACAGGAACAGGTGAAACACAGTGAGATGACCGGTGGTCAGGAGGGTGAGAGTAATGTAACAAGCCATGTTTCATTTGTTGGTAGTGCACACAGCTTTAAGTGTCTGTAGGACCAACACAGCGAGCACTGATTATATCTGCCCATTCAGACACAGCAGCCAAGAGGCTAAAGTTCAGTCCAGAGCTAAACTCCTGTACAGCCAAGGCTGCAGGATCAGAGACGGTGAAGCACCTTTCGGTATACTGAAAAGGCTACAAGTTAACCTTAGGGCTGAACGATTTGGGGGGAATGTCTAATTGCGATTATTCCGACTAATATTGAGACTGAAATTAAAACTGTGATATTTTCTAAACTGAGATTCAGGCCTGATTTATTTTGACCAAGAAGACCAGAATATCCGCCTTTTTTGGCCTGAGGCTCGACCCCTGACCATAGCGTGTCAAACTGCCAGTAAGCTGTGGTTGTGATGTCACAACGCATGGAGGTTTTGCTGCCTCTGATTGGTCTAACTCCTCTACAGGCAGCTCATCAGCTCTTATTAGGTTCAGTTTCCCCTCTGAAAACTTCAATGTTTTCACTAATGTACACACTTAAAAACGATGGTTCTTCAAGGGTTCTTTAATGGTTCTGAACAGAACCATAAACACTCCACAACCCATGCGCATGCTCAAAAAGTTCTTTGCATGGTGAAATGGTTCATTAGATTGATGGAGAATGTGCTGTATATGGTTCTATACAGCACCTTCTGAAAAAATGGTTCTATATAGCGCCATAAAGTTCTTCTACTGTTACAAGCTTGACATCGTATCGACAGCAGAACCCTTTTTGGTGCTATGTAGAACCAAATACAACACATTCTCCATCGTTCTGAGGAACTATTTTACAATGCAAAGAACCAATTGAGCATGAAAATCATCCAGCCTATTCAAATACACAGCCAACATACTGAGCAGCCCAACATCCAGCCTATTCAAATACACAGCCAACAGGCTAATAAGGCCTGTTCAGACAAACAACTGTGTCTATTAGTGCAACCAAAGGCAAGTGTGTCTACATGTGTGTGGTTGTGTGTAGTGTTTAACTTCCAGGAAGGTTTTCTAGAAGTCTCTTTTCCCCATTTCTCGGCCTTATCTGTCCCTGCTCTGCTCTGGCCTCGGCTAAACAGGACTGACTTCCTCAGAAGCATCACGAGAAATCGGTTATGGCAAGTTAAGGTAGAAAACACACACAGGTCAAAACTACTCAAAGGAATATTTCTTGGACCAGAACTAACAGCACTGCGTAACATACAGGCACTTGATCAGTCATCTGAGATGTAAGTAGGGGTGTCATGACACGCATATTCATTTTTAATACGGGGGTCTTGATTCAATACACACTGTGAATCGATCGCAGTTAGATTTCATGCAATAAAAAAAGTGAGATACCAGGAATTATTTCTACAGTTTTTTTGCTTTTTATTTGTTTTTTTGACCGGGACAATACAGATAAAGACTGTTAACATTATGACCGCCTCCTTGTTTCTGCACTCATTGTCCATTTTATCAGCTCCACTTACTATATAGGTGCACTTTGTAGTTCTACAGTTACAGACTGTAGTCCATCTGTTTCTCTGATACTTTGTTAGCCCCCTTTTACCCTGTTCTTCAGTGGTCAGGACCCCCATGGACCCTCACAGAGCAGGTACTATTTGGGTGGTGGATCATTCTCAGCAGCGACACTGACGTGGTGGTGGTGTGTTAGTGTGTGTTGTGCTGGTCTGAGTGGATCAGACACAGCAGTGCTGCTGGAGTTTTTAAACACTGTGTCCACTCACATCTGCTGCTGCACAATTTGTGTTGGTCATCCTCTAGTCCGTTCATCAGTGGTCACAGGACGCTGTTGGTTGGATATTTTTGGTCGGTGGACTATTCTCAGTCCAGCAGTGACACTGAGGTGTTTTAGTGCAGTTAGTTCAGAGTTCAGCTCCAGTCCTGAAACCGCTGCACTGCATAACTGTGGTTTCCTGGTTAAAATACCTGATATTATTAGCTAATTAATCCCTTCTTGAGCTGAACGAGGTGAACAGCAGAGAGAAACACTAAACTATACAGTGCAGCGGCTCCAAACCTGGAGTGAAAACACTGAATTAAAGGTCTGTGTGTCTCTCGTCTCTCGGCTTCTGTCGCGTCTCGCAGGTGAATCATTAACAAAGAGCAGTCACTCTACTATTCAGCGTCACATGAAATGCTACAACAGATATTGCATTTTTGTTTATATCCTTTTTTATGTACTTTAAGTCTTTGGCTTCTATGACTTTCACCAGTTGGGTCTTCAACAACATTGTTATCTCATCAGAAAAGGGAATTACCACCCAAACCGAACCAAAACAATTGGGGATTTACCAAAAAATAAAGTGAAAGTGAAATCTGCAAATAGCTACACCCTTCGTTTTAACCTTTGCTCTACTGTGGCAAGGACTAAAATTATAGCCGCAGCCACCATGAAGCCTGGATTTTATCTGTACTTCTGTATATTTTTATTGATAACAGGATGTTGTACAGGGACAGAACCTTAAAAGCAAGTTGACACTGCAGCGTTTGAGACCCGTGTGTGATGATTTAGTGGGATATACAATCATATTACTTGTTAGCTACAAAAGCAAAACTAAAGAAGCAAACTTTACACACCAAACATGCCTTGTAGGGATGAATAATTAGGGGAAAACAGCTGAATGCGATCTTTCTGACTAATACAGCGATTACGACTGCAGTTTTAGATGTCGTTTGCATAAAACATGAAGTATTAATCTGAAGTGAAATGATTCAGGGCTGAATTTAAAGCTGTACATTTTAATTTCAATTCTGCAGCTGTTGAGGCTTGAATGCTGAACTGACAGTTCAAATGCTTTATTAATGCTTTATTAATATGATTAAAGTTGCAGGTTTTGCGATTTAAAAATTGCATTCTTTCAAATTCTGATATAAAAACAATCAATTGCTCTTGCTTGTCTTGCTGTATGAACTAGACCTTTCCACAAATCATCACTTTAACCTTTTCAACTCCTTGAGACCACCGGTGGTTCCAAAACGTATGAGAGCTGTAAGTGTCTTCTTTCCAGTCAAATAGATGGGTGATGTAATTTTAAACCCTTATAATAAAAGAAGCTGAACTCACTTGTTTTTTTCTACTGAAAGTCGACCCGTTTTTCCACAAATCTGGGCTACAAACTATAAACAGATGGCGTCTCTTCAGTGATCTGATCTGTAAACATTATTTTTATATAAAAAAAAAAACAGAGCGTCTAAGATTTTTGGCGTTCAGCAGTAAACTGTAAGTATATAGCAATATATGTGATCATAAAACACGTTCTGTTAATTTGAGGGGAGCTTTTACAAAAAACAAATAAATAAAATAATAATTTACATTTATTTCATGCAGTTACTGAATAATTTGGCTCATGATTTGGTCATGTAAATTCAGATTGACAAACCAAAATATACCCTGGAGAATAAGAGGTTAAGCATTTCATTCACCTCCTTCTGCTAAAGTCGACAAGTCACATGACCATCACCATTACCATTAATTCCTGCTTGTTTTGCCCGACCAGGCTGGGGATTGTTGCTTAATTCCTTTCAACTGACTTCGCAATGAGCAAAACAACTCCCACTGAATTGATTTTGGTGGGAAATTCTTTGGGGACGGTTTAAATAGAGTGTTCATAGAAACACCATGACTGTCTCACATTGTTCTTGGAGTTATGAAGCGGTTGAGGAGAAACAGCTCGGCTCGTGTTGCTGATGAGAGAGATAGAGAGGAGGTAAACAGTGTGGAGAGTGTGTTGTCACTGGCTGTGTTCTGCTCTCCGTGGGCCTAATCTAATTAGCTCGCTGGCGAGCGCAGAATTTGCACAATCGGTGATACAACCACTGGTGAGGAAAGGAATGCGCCGAAACCACGTCACAGGTCGCGGAACTGAGACTGCCTGCGTGCTTGTGCTAACCATTTTCATGTGCTGACCACTTTAGGTAATCTGACCCCACGTGTGTGTTTATATGTCATGAGTCATCTCGTAACAGCATCACTGTTTACCAACATCATCACCAATCATCACCACCATAATGACCACCGTCATCGATCACCAATAATTACCACCATCGCCAATCATCACCACCATAATGACCACCGTCATCGATCACCAATAATTACCACCATCGCCAATCATCACCACCATAATGACCACCGTCATCGATCACCAATAATTACCACCATCGCCAATCATCACCACCATAATGACCACCGTCATCGATCACCAATAATTACTATCACCAATCATAACCACCATAATGACCACCGTCATCGATCACCAATAATTACCACCATCGCCAATCATCACCACCATAATGACCACCGTCATCGATCACCAATAATTACTATCACCAATCATAACCACCATAATGACCACCGTCATCGATCACCAATATTAC